TTATTATTGTCTATTTATTTATTCATTTTTTGATGAGACAAATTCCAATGCGACCGCCAAGCTCTCTTAGTTACGTTTTCAATGCAAGCGACATTAGGGGGCGGGGCTAAGCAGAATGCCTTCACAGACCTTCGGTTTTCACTGCTCGTCCTTTATAAGGTCTGTCGATGAAAGGTTCAAGTTTAAGTAACACTCCTCAACTACAGGTAAGGGTCTTGTTTTTATGATTATTATCATTATTAGCTGTATTAAACTGACAAGTGATTCAGTTTTAACTCCATACGTTTACTGCAGCAAGGACACTTGCTTTTAACTCTTGAGTTGTTGTAAGTAATTCTTAATATAATTAAAGTTGGCTTATAAACTTCTGCTGTTAAAGTGAACAATTGAAACTTTGTTTTTAGTTGTTAGTTTACAATTTAACTGCTCAGCTGTGTAATAGTGACAATCACTGCTGTGCCTTTTTTTTGTGTTTTTATTAAAATACTTGGTGCTATATGGCCATTTTAACCTGTTGGAAGTAAATAAATAAGCTCCTATGAAAACAGGGACATACAATAACTGGGGTCTTGTAGTAATATGTATATTTAGATAAAAAGGTAAACACAAATATTTTAAACAAGTCTTGAGAACTTTTCATGTTAAGTTAGCGAATGGCTAAAGTGAGCTCTGACTTGTGTCTTTAAAATATAAGTCACGAATTAGCTTATTTTAAAAGCAAAGCTGAATCACTTGTTGGTTTATATAGCTAATAATGATAATCATAAAAAGAAGACCCTTACCTGTGGTTGAGGAGCAGTACTTGAACCTGAACCTTCCATCCACAATAAAACAGAAAGTCCATGAAGGAGCGTTCTGTTTGACTCCACCCCCCTGACGCTGTAACGGTGACAGCTAGCCGTGACAACGCAACTAAAAAAGATCTGCAGTGGCATTGAAAACTAGTCTCATCCAAAAGACATCATAAAATGAGAGTATCTTCATACATTTTTCAATGTGACGGTTTCTTTTTTCAGTATTTGATTTTTCACTGTCACATCTCTTTTTCAGTGAAGCTGTCACTGTTTTAGCTGTAGCAACTGATCTGGTTGCAACACCTCAATCAGACACCTCAGCCTGACTCGTACCATTGGGCTGGCAAGTGATAGGAAAAGTAAAAACTACAGCAAACTATGCCAAGCACAAGTCAAGGAGATAAAAGGGGAGGAAATGAAAAAGAAAACAGAGAATTGTACAGAATGTCGAAGAAAGAAACATATATATGTATAGCTGGTGGTGCAGTCGTAATAATCAAACTAATATCTAAACAGTACCCAGCCTAGCAAATACTTCTAACTAGAAAAGCTTGTACACAACAGCATGCAACTTTTACAACTTGTCACAGCCAAAAAAGCTGGAATCTGCCCAACTCGCGTTGTGGCAGGTAACAGTCTAACAAAACGGACAACATCAAGTGAAAGTACGCCGTGACAATCAAGCACATATTTGACCATTAATAGAGAAGTGCATCAAAACGTACTCACAAAAGTACAGAAAATGATTCTAATCAAACCATCAAACTACTCATAAATATTCTGTTTTAATTAATGCTCAAGACAAATTAGAAACTCTGTTTGTATTGACCCTTGTGTAAATTTGAATAATTCACAAGCAGCACGTCGTCTCCACACACAGACCGCACAATCAGAAGTCTCTGGGTTACAAACCTAAACCCACCCAGAGCTGGATTCACCTGGACAGGTCTCAAATGTAAACATTTTTTTTTCTTTTAATAAAATAAAACAATTTTAAAGTAAGAAAATGAAACTATGTAGACACAGTGCTCCATCAGCTTTTGGGTTTACCTCACACTGAGGTAGTCATTATTTTAAAGCTCTTCAAAGGTATGTCACACTAAAACTTGAAAAGAAAAATCAAACTAATGTGTTCAAATAGATTTGTTTCTTTTGATTTTTACAAACAAAATACTTAAATTAAATAAACTCAATGGTATTGATTGTAGCCTTTCTCAAAGCTCTGTGCCACCAACAGATGCAGCGACTGTCTCACATTTTACAAATCGTGCAGAAATCTTAAGATGCGATTATTAAGTGTTGGTCCTGGTGCGAGCGAGTCGTCACGTCAATGTTAGCCAAGTTGCTGTTTGTACCGACAGCACAGTTCTCCTAAATATCATGTTGTCACGTGTTCATAACTGATTAAAATTCAGTCTTAAATTCCTTGTGTAGATTTTGAAGCTTATTCTCTTTTCCGTTACATGTTGTTTGTTGCTTTAAGTCACTCAGCAACAGTTGTTTTTTTAAAATTAAAAACAGATGGCATTCATCTGCAGCTTGTCCTCATTTTGACAAGTGTTTTGTCCCACTCACATTCAGGGAAACAAATCCAGGAGTGTTTTAATTGACTAATTCTGGTTCTACAAAGCAGGATTAGTTTCCTTTAAATGAGAACTTCAGGTTAAACTGTGGCTTATAAGAAGCAGAAAATGGTTTCACTTGACCTTTGTTGTTTATATATTTTAAAAACTAACCTACAGATTTAAAGCACCAGTTTAACCAATCAGTTCTTTTCAACAATAATAACATCGGTGAACAGAGAGTTTGTTGTACTTTACAGAAAAACCCATTTATAGAAGTTGTTGTCTTATTGTGCTGTGTTTTAGGAGCTTAAAGTGAACATGTTAGTGTAAATATTTTAAGTAGTTTAAAGAACATAAATAGATTTTAGTACCAAACATCAATACTTGTGACAACCCCTTTTAAGCAGTTTAATTTAAAATCTTACTCTAGATGTCTTGACTCTGTTCTGTTGGCCATAGTCATCAAATGAAAGCCATAAATATGATTCATTTTTGATTTGTCATATCAAATGTGATGTTAATTCAATATGGCATCTTCAATAGTTTACTTAATAAAATAATTGAAAATAAAAAAACTTTGTTACTGTAGTGTTGTAATTAAGTGTTCAACTACACACAGTCTGTTTCTAAAACCAATTTAATCTGTAAGAGAAATTTTTATAGCTGGACTAAAACTCCTAAAGGCACCTTTTCAACAAGTTCCTACAGAACTACAAACCAGCCGTTGCTGTTTGCAGCTTAGACGCAACATGTTTGCCACCTTTTGTCTTCCTAATGTTTTGTCTAATTTAAAAAATCCAAATGAAAATAAAAAAACAATTAAAGGAAAAAAATAGTAATACAAAACATTTCATCAACTGAGAACAGGGTTCAGAATGGACTGGCCTAATCCAGTGTTCTCACATTGTTTCGTTTTGGATAAAGTGCTTGAGTGTCTCCTCAGTCCCTGCAGTACCCATAATGCACCTGGAGTGCAGAGTCCCTTCCTGAGCTTAATTTCACTAGAAGCACCTTTAACACAGCCACCGCCCTGATTATTATGTACATGGGATTTATAGAAATATAGAAACTCTGGAGGGAGTTAGCTCAGATTGTGGAAACCTAAAAGAAGAATTTAATTGGAGAATAATACACATCTTTTTCTTTCTATAAGTACATAGTTTAAATACTGTGCAGAGGGATTTATTGGTTGAACCTTAATACTGTTTGAAATCATAATTATTAATTGTGCTTATCTAAAACATGAAGTTAAATGGATTACACATCTTATTTTTACTCAGTCAGAAATTTAAACCCCTTTAAGTGAAATTTAACTACAACTGTGCTTTTATTGGAGTGTAATGAAAGGTGGATATTAGTGGACTGTTTTACTCCATCACAATGAACCCTGTTTTTGCAAAAATAAATAAATAAATTGGTAACTTGTGAATCGTGTGGTGATGACTCAGAATTTTCGCAGTTTTTCTATCTGCTACAAAACGCTCAATTCACTGTTGAATTTTGTGAACGATAACGGCTTGAATCAAATTTAATTTGACATGCTTTATGTGTGAATGAGAAGATTTTAAACAATATAAATCTTCTTTGTAAGAGAAAAAAAGCAGAGATTTAAGTTCGCATCTACTGCAGACTTAATACACTGCAGTAAAATGATTGTTTCAAGAGGCACAGCAATAAATGCACAATTTAAAGCCATATTATCTGTCAAAAATACACATTTTTTTCAATTTTTATGATTCCAGTGTTATCCCACGTATATTCTGGGAATATTTTACCAATTAAATTTCGAAATCAATGTTCAAATATTAACAAACGACTTGTAATTGTTGGCAACAAAACCAACCATGGAGCCTGCTGACCTTGCTTCTTTATTACAAATTCACCAGCAGATGTCTGGTAGTAATGATGCACATTTAAGGTTATTTTCTTATCATAGATGATACATTTTCTTTACCTGCTTTTTTCCTTTCTGAGTCGCTGGTTCATATATACATAAAAGTCAAATCAAAAACATTGAAATATTGCATATTTTGACAGCTATTATGGCTTTAAACGGAATCTGTCTCTGTATTTTGTAATGAAAAGTTGGTAATCAGCAGCTTTTCTGTTTATAAGTGTGGACATTTGAGAGCAAATCAGCCTCAAACTCTCCTGGAAAAGCGGTCCACTCTGTTGGCTCATTGTGTTTTTATTTAACTGTGTCCAGCGGGGTGTGTCGTCTGTGCTCATACTGTGAAACTTTGGGAATCAGGGTGGCGTGCTGGTGTGTCTCAGCTGGACGGCGGGCTGAGAGCGGGCCAGGCCAGGGTTACATTCAGCTGCTGGTTGTGTTGGATCAGTGACGTGTGGCGGTAGTGGAGGACCAGCTCCCTGAGCGACGAGTACAAGTTGTAGGGCTCAGCGAAGCCATAGCCTGTGGACGTCCTGTAGATCACACAGTGCTTCACCTCCCCATCCACCCTGCGTAATAGGAAACACGTCACTTTATCAGTTTATATTTGTATATAAAAGAATAAAACGTTTCAATAAGTTGTAAAGCTACTCACACAACAGAGCAGGCAAAGGAGCCTCTCTGGGTTTGGCTGTCTCTGATGAGGAATGTCCCATCCCTCCTTCCTTTCAGCAGCTCCTCCGCCTCTTTGCGTCTCATTCCACCAACATACCATGTCCTCTCCTCTTGGTGGGTATCATCTTCCAGGGTGTATGGGCTTACATACAGACAGATTCGTTTAGCATTTTAATGTACGTAATGTTTTCAGTTTATAGACCAGTAAAGGATACTCACTCTTCTTCATCATCCCTTATCCCTAGCCAGTTGTTTATTTGGCTCTGCCGTGTGCCTTGCTGGCTCAACCATCTGAAACAGGGACAAGTCGCTGTCAAAAGGCTTCATTATGTTTCATCTCTGCAGTATAGTTACCTTTTTTTTTTTTTTTTTTTGAGGTTTACTGAAAACAATTACATTTTGGACAAATACCATTGTTGTCTCTGTTAGGCCATAAGGTTTTCTTCATTGTTCTAATTTGGCAGCAGTTTTTTTTTACTAAATGACTGGATTTTTTCTCACACTGAATTTCCTAGAAAATAACAATCAACAACAAAAAACAACTAGCTAATTATTTTGCCTATGTGACTATTTTTAGCTCAAAATTTGATTCAATCTTAGATGGAGACTGGTTAAAACACGTGAGTTACCTTAAGGTTTAGAATCTAAACCTTAGGTATGCCAAATAAGGCGATCTACCAACACCACCTCCGCGAGCTACTGGTAGATCGCGATCGATGTAATGGGCACCCCTGGTTTAGATGATGTGGAAGGCATTTTATATGCAGCCAAATCTTTACAATGATGGAATAGTAAATAGATGCCTGCTCAAACATCGTTGTCTTGTTTTAGGTTTACACTGGGACTAAATTGTTCTACACGGTGGGTCAAAAGTCTCAGGACACCTTTTTATTTCAGAAACTAAAGAGAAAATAAATGATCTTAATATCCCAACATGTATGGGTGAGGGGACCTATCTTTTAGGCCAGTAGTTCCCAAACTTTTTATCTTCTGACCCACAAAATATTCATGGCAAAAACTTGTGACCCCAAATATTACTGGTCTGAGTACACAGACTTTGTCAATAACCCTAAAAACAAAGACTACACAAATATAAATACTTATTTATACTTATTTTGTGTTTTTGTAATAATTATAGGGAAAATATTACATCAACAATTATTTTTATTACACTTTAAATTGATTTCTGAAGTGCAGTGGTTCCCAAACCTTTCAGCTTTTGACCCACAAAATTACAGTAGCAGAGACCTGTGCCCACAACTATTTTGGATGATAAACATTTTTATCAGGTCAACTAAACATGGGCAGAGTAGCAATATTCATTATTCTACATTTATACATTTTAGGCAACTTAGGCAAAAATGTAATTAATTTGAAAAATCTTTTCAGGACCCCACCTTGATGTTTCAGGACCCCACTTTGGGTCCCGACACCAACTTTAGGAACCACTGTTTTAGGCAATGTCCAGAACATGGCCGCCATTCTTTTAAGCTGCCATATCGGATGAAAGTCAAGTTTTACCAATGGGAAAGTGGTCATTTAGCATAAAAAAGACCAGAATTGTCTCAGAAATGGATTGCTGCAATCATATTTGTAAATGTCTCCTGTGCTTCAGAAGTTGTCAACACAAACAACAACTGGGAACATTGCCTGTGACGCACAGCTGTTTGACACATTCGATGTGCTGTCCCTGGTGCTAAACACAGTTTGTCTCTGTTAGTTGTTGCATTTTTCTGTGTTGATATTTTCTGAACCACTAGAGATATTTACAAATCTGATTGTGGCAATCGATTTCTAAGAAAATTCTAGTCTTTTCTTACCTTCCTATTGGAAAAATTTGACTTTCATCCAAAACGGTGGCTTTCAAATGGCGGCCATGTTCTGGACAAAGCCTAAAAGATGGGCCCCATCACCTGTTACATGCTAGGATATTCAAATATTTAATTTTCCTATTTCTTTCTGAAATAAAAGGGTGTCCTGAACCTTTTTGACTCAGTCTGTATATGTTTTGTTTTATCTCCCTTTTCACCACAACAGACCAGCACAAGGTCACAATACAGCAGAAGCTCTCTGTCAGCAAATAATCAAACTTAAATAACTTGGATCAGATCAAGGCCAAAATAACTTGGAGGTTGTTTGTTTTTAAATAACTCTATTTTCAAACATTATTTGTTGTTTTTTATGTATGTCCAAGTCTAAAATCCTTCTGTCATAGACATGTCCCAATTTACAACACGTGGTGCTGTACTTACAGTAGATACTGATCTCTGATCTTCCTGAGCTGCACAACGTCAGTCTTCAGGCTGTTTATTTTCTTGTCCACCTCCATGTGAGCCAGTGCCTTCGTCCTTAGTTCCTCCTCCAACATCTTCTTGCTGTTGTGGATCTCTTCCACTGTTGATTGTAATTCGCCTGAGTTGCTTTGAAACCTGCAGGTGAAGCAGCAACATTTATGTCGATGTGCATGTAACTGTATAAGAAAAACAAGTTGTTAGTATTTGGGTTCATACTTGTCAGTCTTTGTGCTGCTGTCTAATGTGAGGAACATGTCAATGTATTCCTTGCTGTAGCGCTCTTGGGTTTCACACTCCTCTTCAAAGATCCGAATGATTTCACTGAAAGCTTCGATGGCGGTTCGCTTGCTTTGGAGTTCCTGTAACAGAGGAATGGAATCCAAACATTTATATTTATAAGTCCTTACAGTTAAAGCAATGTTGAGGATTAGTGGTCGTGTTTAGGTTAAATATTTTGTGCCAACCAAAGATGGTGAAAATTACTACTATGAAACACAAATCAGTAAGAAACGGTCGTACCTGCGAGGTTTGGTTCAGCTCCTCGAACAGCCGGTCATACTCTTGGCTCTTTTCTTTATATTGATCATGAAATATTTTCAACTGTTCCCCAACTGCATCAATGTCGACCTCCATTGCAACTTGCTGCAACATTGTACAAATAAAAATAATGTAACCACACTTAAAACCTCAACAGAATTCATATGCTGCGTTCACTCCGGATGCAATTTGAGCGTCAAAAACATGCCCAATGCTTCAGGTTGGACATTTGTGCACTATGGTCAGACGCTTGTCAAAATTGCTCTGGACACATGTCGAGAGCCTTGTTTTCCTCCTCCTCTCTGTTTAATGGTGGATGAAATAAAGAAAGTGGCTTTGCTTTACTGAGAGCAAGAGCACGTTGCTCTCACGAGATAATTAATTCATACTTAATTCACCAGATAATTCAGAGTAGGGCTGCTCAATTATTGCAAAAATTATAATCACAATTTTTTAAATTGAAATTGAGATCTAGGTTATTTAACAAGATTATTCATTGACTTTGATAACATGAATTTATTGAACATAAACAATGGCTGTTAAACAAGGTTTCTCTCAGGATTTCAAATATTTTTGAAAAAATTAGATAAAGTGAAACTTTGGCTATGTGAGGAGCCTGCAGTATCGTGCTGGCTGTGGCACTGGATTCACAACACAAAATGGCGTAAGCGTAAACTGCGTACTTTGATCATTATGTTTTTATGATTGTTGAAAACCCAAATCATAATCAAGATGAAATTCTGATTAATTGCCCAGCCCTAATTCAGAGTCATTCGGAGTTTGGTGAGTTTCACCATCCAGGAGCTGCGAGCTGACGAGGCTCACTTTCAGAACCATATCTGTCCCGAGCTCAGTTTGACGAGCTGCTGATCTGCATTGGTGCAGATATTTACTGCCAGGACACCAACTACAGGCACTCAATTTTAGATAAAGAGCTCCTGTCCATCTGTCTCAGGTTAGTGGACATCACTTAGGACATCATCCCACTGAAAAATGTGTCACTATGTCACACAGTGGAGTCTCTCTGATTGGTTGACGTGCCGTATCGAGCTGCAAAAGTTCAGATTTTTCAACTCCAGCGTTCGTTGCAGTAAACGTGCAAAACACGTTTTGAACGCTCAAAACGAGTCGCGCTAGACTCGCCACAGCACTTCCCAACGCTTCTAGACGCGTGTCCACCATAAACTTTGCTGGCAATCCTGATGCTCCTGATGCTAAAAATGCATTTGGTTTGAACACAGCAATGGTTGTTAGAATCTGTGATGAATAGTATGAACCCACCTGCTGATATCTGGATACCGGGTAGAGTAACCGTGTGTCCAGTTTGGAGTTGTACTGGGCCAATGACTTCTTCTGGTAATACTGAATCAGGTCCACCACAGAGGGGAAGGTTAGCGGCTCAGAAAAGCCACACTTACCCCCGTGATGGAAGATTTTTATCAGCCTGTTGTAGCCATCTTTTCTGCAGAAGTCAAACAATAAGTTATACAACTTTTTCCTCTAAGTCTGAATCAACTGAATAGGAAAAAAGAACAATTACTGTTGACACACATATAAAAAGTAGTATCCAGAATGTGCAGTAGTTTAAAAATAATATAGGTCAGTGCTGTCTACTCCACGTCTAACAGAAATGTGTGTGAGATGATAGAAAACAGCAGGAGTGAAACAGATCTTTAGTAGACAGAGTCATGTTGCCGACTGCAGGAGTCTGTGCCAAGCCCTGATCAACAGTGTCATCGTCTGGAACCTGGAAGGTCCTGATTCTTTTAAACCGCCTGGAGTTACACTTCAAACCAAGAAAAAACTCGTTTGAAATTTGACTGTTTGTTTTGCAGCAAACAATTTGTTCAAAATACAGACTATAGTTTAAAAGTTTTTATATCATCAGTCCAAATTCTGAGTTATTTTTACCCATTAACTAACAGAGTACAGATTTATGAAATAAATCAGTGCTTGCAGCATATTATGCTTTAAAAAACATTTTTTTAATGAGTTAAAAAAATAGTTACCGTAGTGTCAGAGTATATTCCCCTTTAACCCTACTGGAAGCATCTCGAACCAAAAACGTGCCGTCAGAAGTGTTTCTCATCAGCTCATTTACTTCATCTCTAGAAAAAATATTGTAAGATTGATTACGATTAAAACACACACACACACACACACACACACACACACACACACACACACACACACACACACACACA